ATCTGCCTCGAGGTCTAGGGAAGGAGCCAGCTAATAAATTGGTAAGATGAGTGTCATTGCCAGTAGTAACCAATGTATCATTCAATAAATTCGCAAGCTCGAGTCCGCCTCCATTCTTCTTCTTCCTCTTGGGATAAGTCTGTCATTCCTCATCTGAAGATTAGCTCACATGACCAGTGGAATGGTCTAAAACGTGTCGGACATGTGTAGGTTGTTGAACATTAGAAGCAACTACTTGTTGTACCAGTTGATCTTTTTTTGGATCAAAGGAGCACTCTCATGTGTCTTGGCATCTAAGTAAGCCTTTCAATAAAAGTGGGTGGTATAAGCATGTTCAGATCTGTATCTGTAGTATGGTATTATTCAACAGGAACTGCGGTGTTGGAAATAGGATCGGGCTGCATCTTCTCAGCAGGGATGATATGTGGCCGATCTTTAGCGATATCCAATCTTAGATGAAAATGCAAACGATATCAAATAGTAGAACTGTGGTCAAACATACTATAATGAGATCAACAAGGAGGGTGTGATTTTATTTCAACATTTTGCCAATGCCCGTTGTGAGTGATTTCAATCCATACCTCATTCGGAGCTGGTTGAGTGATCTCTCTCAACTAACACACAAACCACAAAGGGTCTGGTCACAACAAACGTAAGACTATCAATCTTGAGAGACTTACCGTAAGCAGTTGCTAAGAAATAGAGAATTTTCAAGTTGAACAGATATATAGCTAGCAAACAATGACAAATGATGGAGAAAAGAGGTGTCTAAACTTGAAATTGACCATGGTTATGTCTATGTTTAAAAAAAAAAACGAAGTGATGACAATAGTGTAAAATCCTTGTATCAAATTTGAGGTGTCGATCCAATTTGCTTATAATTGTAACTGACATAGGGCTTCCAGCGCCTAGGCATAGAAAAATGCTGCACCTCCCGACTTGGGCTGATTTAGTTTAGGCAGAGAAGGGACCGACAGACCCAAGCATGGATTTGCCGTCTATAGATAGTGGGATCCACTCCTTTGTTGCCCTAGGTCTATAGATGTTGTTTATGTCGTATCTAGGTCTGTTTTCTATGTGTTTTCTATCACTACAGCCGTTGGTATACAAGTTTTTCCTTTTAGGGAAGTATTTGATGACAGGTGGTGCTCCGTTTGTATCTTGTCCAATGTGGTGATTATCCTCAACCTATTCACATGCTCTTCAAACTTCTCTCTGCTGCCGCCATTGTTGTACTTGTTGAAGCCACCCGGAAAAAAGCCAACTCGCTAATTTCCTGCAGCCGCCTACCACCCAACCCTCTCCTATCTTGCTTCCATCCCTCACTACCGCCTTCCAGCACCCAACCGACCCCTCTCCTATCACCTATGCACTGTCTCAGCCTCCCAGAATCCCTTCCTCTGCATCCTAGCTGCTGTTCAAGCCTTCTTGAACCTGCTCGTTGTCACCTAATCACTGTCCCAGCCACCTGCAACCTCCCCGCCGCAGTCCACAACCACCAACCTTCTCCTTGCCGCCGCCAACACTCCCTTTCCCTGTGGCCTCCACGACCAACTCCCAACCTCCTTCATTGGTCACCACCCTTAGGGCGTGCTTTAGTTGAGTTTTTTTTTTGTCTGTTATTACTTTCTCTTTCTTGTGTGATGGTTGTAATCAGCTATTGGCCTTTTCATTAATAATACTTGCTTACAATCGTTGTTTGGGTTACAACGGTATTAGTAACGCTTTGCAATAGTGAGTTATTTTCTTTTTCAGTCCCTAGGTTATTATTTCGTGATTCGGTGCCAAGGTTGCTGCTTCTAAATCAATCTAGGTTTGCACTCAGAATTTAAAACTATTAGATATTCCTTTGCTTTACCAGCCTATGTGCTTGCTCTTGCAAAAAAAAAAATATAGAAATGATCTATAGATCATCTGCAAGCTATATCATGAATATTAATCCGTCTGATCTCAAAATTTCTCATCTCCTCCATATTTCAAAATACATCAATGACAGTGATCTACAACAACTATATGATTCTGATGAGAGCACCACTCTAAGTGTTGAAACTCCAGTAAATAGTTTCAAATCCTGACTAATAAATGGGGCCAAAATTATATATATATAATATATATATATATATATAAACCTATTGTCACCTTTTCTCACTAGGCTTCAAGCAAGACGATTTAAATAAGTGGTTTTCCAATTTTGACGGATCATTGGAGATCATGTTATCATTATTTAAGCTTATACCTTTTTTTCTGTGACATATTCTTGATAATTTAAGCCAATTGCCCTCTTATCAATTTCTAGTTATATAATTGTGCTATAAAAAAACATCAATTTCTTGAGAACCAGAACTAATAGGTGCAGTTTTTGCTGTAAGATGTTTACCTTGTCTCATATCAGGTCCAGAATGTTATGACTGAGCTTTCAAGCTTGGTTGTTGCCGAAGCACTGATGCCTAATCCTTATGATAATGTAGATAAGTCTAATGATGCTTGTTGAGAGAACCAAAATAAGCATATCGTCTAGTTTGATCATTCTGCAAATCCCTCCCAATATGGGAATCTTCACCATCAACACTTCTACAACTGCATATTTAGAATTTTTCACTCCGAAAAATTGGTATCCCATATGAGCATATATATGAGTAGAGGCAGAAAAATAGTCAGCACCATAAGCGCATACACATACACTTATGATGATTCCAACATCGAATGTTCAAACCCATCGAAACTTAGAGTCTTCTTGATGAAATGGACTTTCACCTCCTCAAAAACTTTATTTTCTAGATCCCTCAAAAACTTTATTTTCTAGATTCATCTAATTTTCTTGGTGGAATGGGTCATTAACTTCTTCCTTCAACACCTCAAATTCTGGTTCAACTAGACGAACCTCCAAATTTTTCCGCATCTCTTGCATAAGAACTAATGTAATTTGAGTACCATATCCCAGGAAAGAGTACGTATTTACATGCCTGATATGAATAGTTTTACAATCATATTCCCAAGGACGCCCTAGAAGGAGGTGGCAAGCATCCATTGGGATGAGGTCGCATAGCAATCTCTTGAAATCTCTTCCCGATGGAGAATTGCATCAAACATTAATTTGTAACTTTGATTTCATTTCCTCTTTTAAGCCAAATAAGTTACTAAGGATATGGGTGAACTTGGGTAACAAGCCCGAGTTTTTCGACCATGGTAGAGGGCACCACATTGTTGCAACTTCTGCTATCAATGAAAACAAGATTATACACCTTGTCCTAGACGGTGCACCGGTCCTTAAACATGATTTGTCACAACCAATCCATGTTGGAGGATTGCTCGACATTAAGGCGCAACATTATAAGTAATTCTCTTTCATCCACATGTACTATTTGTTCCCTGACCAAATTAATATCTTCCACTTCTAATGAATCTCCTGTTTCAGGTTCACCCTCTTCCACCAACAAACAAACACGACAATTTGGACAGTTTTAACTCTACAATAAAAACCAACTCTTTTCTTGACCTCAGCATCGAAATCCTCCACTTGCCATTTTATTATTAATGCACATTCATGAGGAGAGCTTACGTGCATCTCCCTTCATGATTATTCGTGAGATCGCTTGTGTATCCTTTCTCATGGGACCTATGCGCGAAATCACCATGCATCCCTCATTCTCATTTGAGCTTCATACAACTCAACTCACCATGTGCCAATGCTGCTGCCACATAATGATGGCTATTATGCACGGTTTTGATGGTTGTTTGCTAGTTATCTAGAGTTGAGACCCCATGGCCTTTCTCACTTACTAGTTATGGCTCTCCTCTCTGTAAGGATTTCAGATTTTCTAGCTAAAAATATTTGCCACTTGTATCCACTCCACTATCAAGTAGCACAAGCAACTTTTTCTCTCCTCAATCCCACTTCCTTCTCAGCCATCTCCCTCGGTGGCAATTCCTAGGGTTTCCATAGTTCATCAAATTTACCAAACAACATTGCCACCTATTTTACTGGCCTCATCATCTTGAAGTTCCCACCTTCCTGGGGAAGGAATTGTGGTACCACCGGAGTGGAGTGCAATGTCGCTAGGGAAAGTAATTGTGGGACCAGTTGCATGTGAGGAGTTCGGACCTTGCGAAGAAAGGCATCATGGGACCACTAATAAAGCGTGTCATGTCATTAATAATTGTGGGGAAGACCAAACCAGAAAGTACCTTTCAGTCGAGCTCACGAACTATTGAAGAGTCTCAAGTTTAGTGTTTCAACCATAGAGGACAAGTTGGTGTATATTGAACACAGAACTAAAACAATTCAGATCTTTCTGTTTAAATATAAGGTTGAAAATTTATTTGGATGAAATCACAAAGCAACCTTTTTGTGGTAGCATGGATATTCATGTTAGTGAACCAGATAGTACTTAGCTCGGGTTTAATAGACTTCCTTAAGAGGTACCTTCATTTTTCTAAATCAGGTTTCAAACAAATCTCTTTTTGTTGAAAAAGACAGGATTATTCTGATTAGTTCTTCGCCATGCAAAAAAGTAAAAGAAATAAAAGTGAAAGCTATTTAAATCTCTTTCCCATATCGTGGAACGAAGTTCTAGCCGAAGCCTTTCGCCATGATTGGTCCACTAACTGGTATAAAATCCAGTGCCTGTCTTGGTTAGTGGTTGCCCTTTCACTGGTCAAACTGAAGGTGCCATGAAACTTCCATTAAACAACAGAGCCAGAAGCCAAACTTGCCCAGCGATCAAATTAATGATAAGAATGATGCAAGAAAAAAACACAAATTATCACATTATTTCAAATAAAAAAATATAGAAATGCATTTAATCTCCAAGTAAAAAATCATAAAAAATTTATGGATTACCAATATGAGAAAAAGAGTTCTTTATAGAGCTAAAAAAGCGTGCCAATTAAATTGATGGCAGCATAACCTACTTTGTTTCCTTCATATTTTTATTCTCATAAATTTTTTATAAAAATGCACGGAAGGTAAACCATTCAAATCTTATTTCTGCAATAACTACCTTGAGTTGTTATGAATTTGCGCAGCTTTATTTCTTGATATGAAGTTGGTCATCTTTGCGTGTAACCTTTCACTAGCCTGGCATATAGTCAATTATCAGTTCAGATCACATCTTCAATTATCACCATAGCAAGAAAATCCCTTAAAATTATCAGCTCACATCGGCTATATGTATGTGCTGAAGTTCAAGCCAAATAGGATCATGATCCTCCAAAAGGACCTCCTTAATTTCAGAGGTTGACCCTGTTTTACTTGGCACCTACATGATAAACTTCAGTGAGAACTACATCCATAGACAGAAGAAAGGTAGAAAGAACAGGGCATTTACATTCATACCACCCAATTCCTATGTATTTACATATCAAACACCTAAACTTTATTTATACATTTATGCTACCCAAAACTTTTACATCACATCAAAAATACCATCATTTTAACTTTTAAAAAGTGAAATACAGATTTTCATGCATAGGTAAGGTGGAATGGATGTAAAAATTGAAGTTTTAAGAATTGAGTGGTATAAATCTTCAAGAAAAAAAACACAAAAAATTAATTAATAAAGTACCTTCTGAACATATTTATTTCCCTCCATATTTAATAAATCATGGCACATAGCATCATATGTCCATTCATGAATGATAGGTGCAATCTACACATCATATATATAAAAAACTAATTGATTTTAGTTGAGGAAGCAAAATAAAATCATAAGTTAATTGGGAGAATAAAAAAGAGCATTTATCCAACCTACCTGATCGATTGAACGGTCAATGATTAGTAACTCACAGGTCTCAGTTTGTGGAAAGTTAGGAATTGTAGCTTTATACCTGGCAAGACTGTGCCAGACAGCAGCAGCAAGCTTTGTTGGAATTAAATCACGAAAGGTCGTCAAAGTAGAAGCATCTAATGATGACTTGGCAGCACGGTAGCGTATATAGGGAAATTCCTATAGAGTGCCAGATTCACGAACAATAAAAAACTTATAAATTTTCAAATTCATACAGATTGTAGATATAGTGTAAATTACTTCTAGTTGGACATAATTGAGCATAAAAAATCATAAATTATTAAGAAAAAAATACTCAACAGACTAAAGTAATTAAAGCAAAGGCTTAATTATTTGAGTTGAGGCATTACTAATTAACAAACGTAAGTACCTATTGTTTAAATTTGCAATTTTTTATATAAATTTTATGGAATAATGATGTTAAAATATTTAAATATTAAAGTAAAATTGACGTGAGAGTCAGGTAAATTAATTAACTCTTTTTATAAACAATTTGTGACATTTCATCAGTCCAACTTTTATAATTTTTTAAATCATTTAGAAGGTTGAAAAGAAAATCCAACACACAAGTCAGGATTAGCTCGCACAGTAAAGCACAATGGACAAGGTCAACTCACATGGACCACATGTACATGGGCATCCATGGGTCTACATGATCAATGTAGCTCTTACAAGATGATATTTGCAGGTCTACCCTGAAAAATGTCAAAATTCATGTGTCTCTAACAACAAAGCAGATTTTTGCCAATGTTCATGCTTTCGCCCAAAATTTAGAACTTTAAAGCTCATGCAAACCCACATCCCTCCCACAATCCCACCAACCAAAAATAAAATATATATGAGAAGAAAGATCATTTTATTTCAAGAAGAACTCTTGTGCAATGAAGATGAGAGAAAGGATGGAGAATGAAATAAAACAGAAAGAGCTAAAAAAGAACATTGTAAAAAAGAAACCAAATAAATCAAAAGTAATCAGAAAGAAAAAAAGTGCCCTTCACTTTTCAAGGGATCTCTTCCTCTTCTCTTCAACTCTTTACACTCTCTCTACTCCTAAGACTCGCCACTAAAATCTTCCAAAGCATGTCGCCTTGAAGCACAATCTTATTTCTAAAAGATATCTCCTTCCCAGCCCTACCTCCTAACCATATATTTAAGTGTAAATCAAAATCTTGATAGCCAAACTAGACAAAAGATATATTTGAATAAGAATACGGGACACAGACAATAAAGAGTGCCCGGCAATAGCGGCATTTACTTGTATTGATTTGCTAGAAATTGATCCAAGCAATAAAGAGTAGATTGATTGATGAAGTGGACATAAAAATGAGGGAAGGTAACCCAACTTGAGGAATAGGAAGCTCATCCAGGAATTCAAATTATGGAAACTACTTCAACATATGCAAGAGACCATTTCCATGATATGATCGAATAGAAGAAGGTTTTGAAAATCTGTTTCAAAGGATAGTTTGATAAGTAATTGTGGAGATAAATAAATTCAACCAAAAAAGAAAAAAAACCTATCAAACGTAAATCAAATATCAAAATACAAATAATCTCCAAGCACAGGTACCCAAAGATAAATTTACCAACCAAAAATAGAAAGATAGTACTACCAAGTGAGATGGATTCACCATAACAAGTAATGGGAGTCTTAACTCTAGCAAAATTCAAGCCAAGCTAAAAGAATAGATGAATATTAGTGCACTAACCACGCACATCAACAAAAGAAGGTGTTAGTTAAGCTTGGTAGGAGGAGCATCTATCATGATTAAGATTAAATATACGACTTGATAAATCATCAAGATGGGACCAAAAGAAAAATAACTCATGGAAGAACCAAGATCAACCACAACATAATAAAGGGCAACTAAAGCCAGGATCAAAAAGTGGGCACCAACATGTGATTATGGAGAGGAGTCGGGAAAAATAAAACATGGGACGGATTCCAATATTAAAATTGCACAATTAGATATTGAGGCGTTTTTCATTCGTGAGTCGAGTCACAAGCTTCAAGGCATTTTGAGGGGAGTCTCAAATTTAAAAAAGAACTTTAATTAATAAAAATTATATAAACTATAAAATATGAAGCAAAAAGTAATATATTAATATTCTAATTTATTAGCACATTAAAATTAACGTTAATATCCTAATATCAAATTATGAAATAAGATTGCTTATATAAACATTAAACTATCAAAGTAAGCTAAGATATTAAAATAAAATATTGAAACATAAGAAAATAACAATAAAAATAAATTCAATATTAATCTTTCTTTCTCACTCATACTACCCCCAGTAGAATAAGAATATAACAAATCATCATCATCCGAATTTTTTTATTTGATGTCTCAATTACTCTCACCACTCAATTGATTATAAGAATCATCATACTACCCCTCAGCCACCGTCACGTGCCTAACTATTCGAGGACCGCCCTCACTACCGGCAAACTGCCCAGAGGGGGATTCAAACCCGTGACCTGAGGGGACTTACGACTTTCAAAAATGTTGCTCTACCAACAAACCACGACTAACGGCGCGCGTGCGCACACACACACACAGCTATATATATATATATATATAAAGTATATATTAAAAAGAAAGTAAGATACAGATAGATTGTGTGGGAGAGCCCAAAGATAATCACCATATGGAAATGATTCCAAAAAGAGAAAATACAAAAAAATAAATAAGAGACCTAAAGAAAAGTAAAACAAAAAAGTGTCAAAATCCAGAGTATCAAGTAACTAAAGAGCAACCCAATTTTGCTTTGCCTCTGCCTCTAGTTCTAGGGAAGGAGTCAGCTAATAAATTGGTGAGAAGAATGTCATTGTCAGTAATGAGCAATGTATCATCCAATAAATTTTCGAGTCGGCCTCTATTCTTCTTTTTCCTCCTGGAATAGACTTGTCATTCCTCATCCGAAGATTGACTCGTTTGGTCAGTGGATTGGTCTAAAGTGTGTCGGACATGTGTAGGTTGTTGAACATTATAAGCAACTACTTGTTGCACCAGCTGATCATTTATCGGATCGAGGGAGCGGGAGCACACTCGTGTGTCCTGACATGTAAGTGAGACTTTTTCAATAACAGTAAGTGATATAAGCACATTTGAATCAGTACATGAAGTATGACGTTCTTCATCAGGAACTGCGGTGTTGGCAATGGGGGGATCCACAGGCAAATTAGACACCAAATCATGTCTTGTGGGAACTTCCTCCACAGATTGAGCAGATGTGTCCAAAGCAATGGGGTTAGACCCCTCTTTGTTTGCTTGAGCTTTAGGTTTCAAGTTTAGATGGAGTCTGTGACATTTATCAAATGTATGCCCAAAAATCTTACAGTGGGTACAATAAAAAGATTTATGTCCCATGACAATTGGTTGTCAATATCCATTGTGAGTTATGCCCAACCAGACTTCAATAATATCAGGTAAGATAATATCCTTGTCCACAAGTATTATGGCCACAGAAAGCCTGGTTAGGTTAAAGGTGGGCATATCTAGCTTCATAGAATCTCTAATAATGGTTCCAATAGAATAAAGAACCTGATGATTAAAGAAATGCAACTTGAGACCAGGTAAACTAATCCATACCGGAACAGTAGGAGACTCATGATTTGGGTCAAAATTAGGAGACCACTTGAGTAACTTTATTGACTTGTCTACAATGTTGAGATATTTTTTAGAGAAAATCCAAGTATAGTCTTTAGCTAGGGTCAACTGAATCAACACATGTCTCTCATCCAAAAGTCTTACTTTCCACTTGCCTACAAGTTTGAAATCGTCAACACTTTTTCTGATAACTTCCATAAGTGGGTGCCCCCACTGAAATTTCCCATTTCCCAATAAGAGCGAACTAAGAGCGAACTTGAATTTCTCAATTATGGTTGAAATTTCTGAATTAGAGAACAATAGTATTGCCTTCCCACTCTTCCTACTTATCTTCTTAAGAAAAGGGTGTTAACCTCATTTTTGGGTGAGGTCTTTACTTCTCTCCTTAGAGCCTAGGAGTCTAGCCTTAAGTTTTCTTTGTTTAACCTTCTTTGAGGACTAGTAAGAGACCCACACCATTTAGAAAATTCGAGCCACATCGTCACTCCTCCGAATCTTGCATAGGCGATTTTGAATCATCGATATCTTGCTGAGATGGTTAGAATCGACATATGAAACTCGAGTTGAGTTCCTATATTAATAGAAGCAGCACCTATGAAACATCTTGCAACTCGAACACTCACTAACGCTGCATTTTGAGCACGCATCAAACCACGCACGATTTTGCGTCGACGAACTTGTCTGGACGACCCTGGATGACGAAACGAACCGCACCGATGCGTCCGGAACGTCGACTTTTGCTAGGAAGGACACCTATATCGCTATGTTTTCACGCGCGAGCAATTAGCATGAATATCGATGCACGTTTTTTTAAAATTAGTGTGGCGCGGGCCCGGGATTAACCTAGATTCAACTCGGGCTGAACAAGGGCTAGTTGCCTCAGCTTATATGATTTTGAATTTCAAACTTTAAATTTCAAATTTATCATTTAATCCCCCATTAAGTTTTTCCAATTAAGTTGTTGCCGCTCAGGAAAACTCATTAATTCCCCGCCATTGCATCACGTAACGGCTCCCTGGCTATACGATTCGGCCCCGCTCCTATTCATAAAGGAACGCTCGCCTTCTTCCTGGCTCTCTTGATTCGATTCGGCCCTCCCGAGATTCTCCTGGCTTCCCCGCTTCTTCCTCACCCTCTCGGCCTACGCACTGAATCCCTTACTTGCGTCCCTCCCGCGTTCGATCAAACACCACACCTGCCTCCTCTCTTCCTCTGCGCAAGCCCGCTCACCTGCTTCACTCTTCTCTGCACCGAAGCTTTCACCCGCTAGTCTCCTCTCTGCGCCGAGCCCCCTCACCTACTCCTCTCTTCCTCGCCAGGAATTCGGATCCCCGCTCTCGACAAAACTCCCGCTCGCCACAGCTCTACACTGAAGCCCCGCACCGGAGCCCCTAGCATGCCTCGTCGATCTACAACGAAGCCCTAGCCCCTCGTCTCTTTCTCTCGACAACCGAAGTTCCAGCCGGCAGGACATCCTCCACTGCTTGAGACGCTTGCTCGCCTCACTTCTCTCGGCTCACCTCCCTGGATTGCAGCCCTAACTAGCCT